AACCCTAAATCAAAAAGTTTCTCCTTTTTATCTGAAAAGAGTCTTCAAGCTCAAAACCATTTGCTCTTTTTTTCAGTCTTTTGTGAATAAGGAAGGTGATGGGTAAATGGCTTCTTTTTCATTTTAAGACTCAAGACTCTTTAGTTTTTAAAATAATTCTCTTGCAAATATTATACACAAGATAGATTGCTCTGTGGATTATAAAGGCTATGAAGAGTTCACAAAATATAATGAAATTTTGAGATTTATAAAAGAACAGCTACCAGACCAAAAAGCTTAGATAAGAAATGAGGCAGAAGTCCATTAGCCTGATCAAGAAATATTGAATTCTAAAATAAAGCACAGCAGGTAGAGATCCTTCATGGTTTATAGTCACTCAAATCACTAAAAACACATAAAGGATACTTCTGGTAATTTTTTTTTTAACTTAATAGCAGGAAAATCCCGTTTCTTCACAACAATGAATAGATGGCACAATAGGCAATGGGATATTTCTTCAAAAACAAATTATCTAGGGAAGAAATGCCTAAAGGCTTAGATTTTCAGCCATACACATCCCTTACTTAAAGCTTTAAAAATCTGAGGCATCTAGCATTTCTGTGGTAACATTAAAGTAAAAAAGTTAGGCTTCATTTCTATCAGAAAACATTATGCTTCACTGAAAGAAAACTAAGCATCTAAAATTTTAATACTCAAAAATGTAAAGGTAATTTAAAGGGTCAAATCAAAGGTCAAGTAGATATTAGAGTTCATGATAAATACACCAACATATTTTTTAATAATCTAAAGGTTTTTTTTTCCCCCCCTGAGAGAGAATGAGAGCAAGCAAGCATGGTGGGGAGCAAAGGAGGGAGAGAGAATCCCAAGCAGGCTCCATGACCAGTGGAGCCTGACATGGGGCTCAATCCCACAACCCTGAGATCATGACCTGAGCCAAAATCAAGAGTCAGATGCTCAACTGAATGAGACACCCTGGCACCCCTGACAAAGATCTGTTTCAAACAATTTAACATGAAGTCCTCCTATGTGTTAGATCCCCTCCATATACATGATGTAATTTTATTCTCCCAACAACCAGAGTAAGGATTATTGTCCTTTTACAAATGAGGAAACTAAGGCCCAGAGATTTGCCTACACTTGCTTGTGTAAGATTTAATCAAAAATCTAATTCAAATTTTCTGACACCCCAGTTCAATGCTCTTGCTTTCACTATACCACTGTCACTTCCACAATTCAAGTACTCTAATCTTAGTTCTTATGAAGTATACTAATCTCTTCATCTGGGAGAGGCAACAGTTGTAAGGGGAGAAGAAAAATTATTCATAATGTCACCATGAAAGGGGAAAAGAAAAATTATTCATAATGTCACCAAAAAAAAAAAAAAAACCTCATTGTGCTTATTAATCCCACATGATTACTCCGTCCGATGTAAATGCTTTGTTCATACTGTCTACCCCCTTAAAACACCTGCTTATCTTCAGATACACAGCTTTAACCAAAATCTAACTCAAGAATTACTTCCCCTAAAAGAGCTTCCCAATTATGACCTGTTCCCTTCCTCTCAATCCAACATCCTTCCTTACCATCTCATTCCTTGTATCTATTCTGGACTACATTATCACACACTCCTCTGTTCTCCTGCCATATATTTGGAACTACACTTTTTTCATTCAGTAACTATTAAGCATTTGAAGAGCTAATGGTGAACAAAAAAGACAGGTCCTTGCTATCACAGATGATTTACATTGTTTGCATCTTTTAAAAAGGTAAAAATAAGATAGGGTAAAAGAGTATGATGTTCTACAAGGATTCCTTCCTTACAAGGTCTCTGAAGAAACCTTTCTCGCTTGCGTACTTGGTAACATTTTTCTGGGAGGAAAAATTCCTACTGTCACAACTTTCAGATGAGACCTTCAATTTAATGCCTTCAAAGAAATATGTGGGAGTGAGGAACCAAGGTAGAAAGAAGGATAGATCTAAAATCTTTCAAGGGTTTCCAACGTAGGAACGTAAATCTACATCTACACATTAGTCCAGACATCCCTTCCTGAGTCCCATCCACAAGAAAATGATACTATAGCCACAACTGCTCCAATCGAGCATCTCCACCAATCTCCTTGCACCCAGCCACTTTAATGCAGTACTCAGAGACTTTTTAATTCATGTTATATTTATGGATTACATGTACAATCATATTCAAAAAAATAAGGTAAGACATATGCCTTCTACAAGATCACGGCTATAAATGCATTCAGCTTTGGATATTATAAATATTCAACCGTAACACTTCAGATATTGCTATTAGCATAAGACTTTTCCACAAAATCAGAAAACTACGTATAAGTATCATCCCTTACTCTGTCAATCATGTTCCAAGTAACCTGCTCTTGAAGGATTATTTATAAACCAAAACAAGTTTAAATGTACTAACAGTACTCACTAAAGAAATTCTGCAATTTGTCTTTTAACAAGACAGATACTTTTGTAATGAAAATTTAATAAAATCATGTTATCATTTTTTTCTTAAATCAAAACTAAAATATAACTTCATTACACAGAATTGTAATTTATTTATCCCCAGAGTGTAAGGGTTTTCCATTAAAAAATGAACCAAGAAACTAGATCTTGCCAAATTTATAAGTGCCATAAATGTGCTGCTGTAAAAACCATATTTGATTGCCTTGAAAATGTAATAGTACTCTAACTTAAAAAGGTCAGCACCTTTTTCAGATCACAGATACCATATTAATATTCAACAAGAAAGAAACCACGACCCTTTTTAAATTAAACAACCAGTTCCAAGCAGCTGTGTACAATGTATGTGGCTCAAACAGTCCACATGGAATTTGACCGCAACAACCTAATCTCCATAATTAAAGACCTAAAAGGTAGTTCTTATGTTTCATCTATTCCCTTTCCCAGTACTTTGAACAGGCATATTACAGTCATTCCATACATAGTTGGTATCAAAAAAGGGGCAACAAATACTTGAAATTAGCTGTACTTTCTATAAAGGACAAACCATACCCTTACTCTCCCTTTCCCAACCTGTTCTATAAAATTAGCATGATCAGGGGCGCCTGGGTGGCTCAGTGGGTTAAGCCGCTGCCTTCAGCTCAGGTCATGATCTCAGGGTCCTGGGATCGAGTCCCGCATCGGGCTCTCTGCTCAGCAAGAAGCCTGCTTGCTTCCCTCTCTCTCTCTGCCTGACTCTCCGTCTACTTGTGATCTCTGTCTGTCAAATAAATAAATAAAATCTTTAAAAAAAAAAAAATTAGCATGATCATAATTCCACTGTAAAACAGGTTTCTAGCAAGCATAAAAATTGACCACAGTCTCTTAACATGATCAACTGCAGACAACAGCTGACGGAATGGAGAAAATCTAACAAGCAATTCATCCACATTCCTCTACAATCCTTGTTTTGAAATCCTAAGAGGCAAAAACAAAAAACAAAACAAAAACAAAAACAACAAACCCACATTTTTAAATGATTATGTGAAAAGACCTTAAGTGGCACTAATTTGAGGTTAACTTTCAAGGGAAGTTAATAAAAACTAATAACCCCACTATAGTATTCTCATACTAATCAGAAGTCACTCAAAGTCCTCTAGCATTAGAAAGGCAAAAACTTCATTAAATTATTTAACACAAATATGCTTATAATATTATCAGATAAGTTTTCCCATCTGTTTGAGGGGTCCAAGTTATCTATCATTTCAGACAATATTTAGATAAAATGAAACTAGGCAAGTTCCCTAAAGCAGATGTCTCTCATAAAGAAGAGTGTTATATGACTTTTGTGAATGGAAAATCTGCGTATACTGTTGCTTCACTCAGCTGGTCTCGAGTGGGCGGCTCAATGAACCAGAAGCGTGCTCCTTGTGAAGCTCCTAAGAACCTGAGTCCACTCCTGAGAAAGGACTCAGAAACAAACATTACATTTAAAAGTACGACAAAGGCTTTGTCTTCCTCCTACATTACAAGTCGGCCACAGGAACTGAGTTTAGAGGAACGACACCGTGTCACTCGGCTCTGTATGGGCGGGTGCGGTTGCGGTGCGCGGCACAGCCTCCTCCGAGGCTGTCACAGGAAAACCGAAGCCTCGCCTTAACCGCGCCAAGTGACAAAGCACCAGCTCTCCCCCGCGCGGGGGCTTCCGGCGAGACCCAGCCGTCCGCCCAAACTTCGGGAGGAGGCACTCAGGGTGGTCAGAAAGCTCTCACCACCCCCGGGCCCCTGACTTGGCTTTGTAAGGTTTGCACACGCACGTACTGTGGGCCCCAAAACACTCCACCCCCGCCGGCCTTTGGAATCCCCCACTCCAAAAAGGGACAAAGAAGCTGAAGAGGAACTTCGGCGCGGGGAGCTCCCGCCGAGCCGAGCTCAAAACGTGGGGATAAGGGAGTGCAGTCGCCCAGGAGGGTGCAGACCCGTCGGCCCCCGACTCAGGGACGGGCGTGACACTCACCGGTGCGGAGCCCCCGGAGAGGCGGGCAGCAGAGGGCCGGTTCCTCCGGGGCCCTGCAGGCGCCCGGGCGGACACCAACTTCTCTCGGCTGCTGTAGCCGGCGGGAGCTAGGGCGCGAGCCCAGACCGAGGGCGCTGGCTCGCTGCCGCGGAGACGCTGCCGGCTCTGCACGAGAGGGGAGCGGGAACTCCGGGTCCGCGGTCCTCTGGCCAGGGCGGGATCCCCCTTCCCCTCGTCTGCCCGATTCTCGCTGCGGCTCTTGGCGCGGTAAAACCTAACGCCACAGCCGCTCGGGCTACCGCTCCCACCACCCCCCTGCCCGGAGCTCGTCGCGGCCTAATGTTGTCATCGGCCGCGTCGCCGCCTCTCTGGGAACTTGGAGCCTCCGAGATACTTCACATCCGAGCGCCTTCCCTTTCCAGGCCCCGCCCCGCAGCTCGCGCGCTCCAGCCAACCCCCCCCCTTCCCGTCACGTGACAGAGTGCGGAGGCGGCCGCGGAATCGCCTCTCTTTCGGGCATGGCGGTGACTCGCGCGGGAGCAACTGTCAACACCTTGTTCTGCCAGAGTCTTATCGCCGCCGAATTGCCTCCGCATACCCGAAGGCGGCTTCGGAATGCGAGACCACCGCCTTCCGCCCCACGCCTGTAACCTGCCGAGGCGAGGCCTTCTGGACCGGTCTTACAGGGCCCCGTCTAATCTGAGGAGACTGCACAGTGCAGGTCCCTGGTGAGGGCTTAGGACCCCACGCCCACTCGGAGGCGTGAGGGTGACGCCCGCCTCCTCAGCCCTGGCTTGGCTAAAGTTTTAGCCAAACAAAGGAAAAAAGAAGGCATCGTGGTGTCTGGGTGAAAAAGCAGTAACTAATTCTTCCGATTTCTAGTAGCACGTTAATTTGTGGCATTTAATTTACTGTTTTCCTCATTAGAGGTTTTTATTTTTGAGGAAAGGATGGTGCGTTTCAATCATGCTGGGATGAAAATAGCCTAGCAAACTTATTTTTGTTCCTAATCAGTTTCGGCATCCTTCGTGCCAGTTTTGCAGTCATTAAGTCTTACACTGTGTTAGGTTGGTGGCAGTTGAAACAGATAACACAGGATTTTGGCAATTTGTTCCATTTTTAAAATAAAGACTAATCCTCCCCGCCCCCCAAGTACCTTAACTTTTGGACATACCTTTTGCCTCACTTTTAAACCATGGTCCGAGAAACTCTCACCCCCACCCCTCAACACTGGTGAGGAGGAGAAAAGAATATGCTGGACACCGGAGGAAAAGCAACAATACAGAAATGAGGGGGGTAGAAAAGCAAAAAGATCATAATCAAACCCTGTGAACAATGAAAGCACGTGAGAAAGCTTTCTCGGTTTGCAAGTCATTTTTACTTTTGGCCCAGAACTAAGGGTTTTTGCTTAAGCAAGTCTTACACCCTCATTACATTTTCTTAATATGACATCAAAAAGCTTTCTGATCAGCTGGATACTTTGAAATGAATAAGCAATAGAGTTTGGCCTGTTTAAATCATTATGATTAATGTATTTTATGGGTACACTAAGAAACAGACTTTAAGACTCACCATTAGTTCATGTTACTCAAGACAGAAAAACACTGCCAATTAAACTATGCCATGCCACTGATATTTTTAGGATACATCTTGAATTCAGAGATTGTTAAATGTGTAAAACAATGAGTCTTAGAATCTGTGAGACGTAATGAGCTGGTGTTCCAATGAAGAAAAGATTCTACAGGTTCTGTTCTGAACTCTGAGATAATTGTAGTTCAAATAAATATGTGAGACATGTATTATTCTGTGAATGACACTATTTCAGCAAAGCTAGTAACTTTGGAGTTTGTCAGTAAATTGAAACCTGTCTCCTATTTTCTAGAGAAGTATTTTTTATACAGACTCAAAAATTAATTTATTTTTTAATGAAATAAGCTAGAATTGAATAGAATATAAAGACCAGACTACATACTTAGTGTGAACAAGAAATTGCTCTGTGAAATTTTTGTTTCATTTGTGGGGAAGGATAAGAGTGTGTCCTATGTTGTGATTTAAATTGTTTCTTATTGTGAGGTGCAGTCAAATAGATTTGAAAAAGAATACTCTTAGAGCACAAATAACACACAAAATATACACTCTGGGCTATGTCTCTTTGGTACTTTTCCTTTACTTTGGGAACTAAAACTAAAGATTAGAAAGAGAAGGCAAATTACCTTGACAATCCTCTCCTGCCTCAGCCCAAATTTCTTACACAGGCAGTAGAAAATAAATGGTCTTTTTCCGGAAAAGGAAGCACCCTTCTGGAAGCAAGGTGGCCTTGGTTATAGACTTTGCTAATTAGACGTTTGACTAGATGAATTACTCTCTGCATTTCAAATTCTGGTAAAAGTAGGAAGTTGGACTATATGCTGTTTAGCCAATGTTACTCAACCTTTTTTTTCAGTGATGATATTCACATTTGAAACAAATAGCCATTGTATACTCAGGACAGTGCAAATTCTTATCAGACTAGTTAAAACTCCTATCAACCACACTAAAAAAAAAAATCAGAATGCAAATTCATGAAACTAAAGATATGGAACAACAAATGTAAGTATATCTTTTGCAGTTGTCTGTATTTTAACTGTTGCTAATAATAATTGCTTGCCATGGATGATGATTTTGACATACCTCACAACTGATTGCAACAAAATGATGTATCAATATATTCAAATTCAGAAAGACATACTTTTCAGATCCTTTCAAATCTAATATTCTATGATTCCAGGAAATGATCATTCAATCTAGCATTTGTGATATAATCACAACATAAACAGAAACTGTAATATGTGATCCTGCTCTATAATTGAGAAATATCCTGTAACTCTCATTTGCTATGTTGAGATACCCTACAAGTTTTCTACTCTTAAAATAATTTTTAAGAATAACATTTTTGAGGGGCGCTTGGGTGGCTCAGTGGGTTAAAGCCTCTACCTTCGGCTCAGGTCATGATCCTAGGATCCTGGGATCAAGCCCCGCATCAAGCCCCGCATCACATCATCAGGGTCTCTGCTCAGCAGGGAGCCTGCTTCCACCTCTTTCTCTGCCTGCCTCCCTGCCTACTTGTGATCTCTGCCTGTCAAATAAATAAAATCTTTGAAAAAAAAAAAACATTTTTGAACAAAACTTTTTATTAAAACTATGCACTTTTATTATAACTATCCAATTTTAACTCCAATGAGAATTAATCTCTTATTGCCCAGTGTTTAATTAATTATACATTTCTGAGAATGAGAAGTTCTTTTTCCAAATCGGTTAAAGCACTGACAGGCATGATAATTTTTCCCACAGAATATGTATGAACCCTGACCTAAAATGAGAGAGATTGGCTTGAGGTTGTTTTTTGTTTTACCTTTAGCCTTTCCATTTAGACATCTGTGTTGCCAAAAATTGCTGATGAGGATTTTCTATTAAAATGCTCATTTTCTCAAAGAAGATTAAGAGTAACCTTAAACATGAATAAGGTATTGAACACAATAAGATTGTGGTAGATTATATTTATTACCCTTGGCCCTGTAACTTGCTCTAGCCAGTGGTTTATAAACAGATGCAATACATGCTAACTACTTTAAATTTTAGTGCAACATTCAGGTCAATCTCTTAGTCTCATGCTGCCTGCCATGAGAAAGGCATTTTTCAAATAGGCTATCAGAATGAGAAAATACATGGAGCAGACCTGCAATTTACCTTTACCCTGGAGCAATACAGTAGTAGCAACTGATTTGCTGCTACTAACATGAAATAAGAATAAATCATAAATATTTGTTACAGAGATTTTGAATTTATTATGTAGTATAATCTCACAAGTCAGGTTAAGTGCATGTAAACTAACAGATTAGTGGTTCAAAGGCTAAATGTACTGTAGAACAATATTACTCTTCTATTTAGTAAAATAAAGTAATAGGCACTTACAAAATAGTCACCTAGATATTTGGTAAGCACCCAACTAAAAATTTATATGAAAAAGTAGTCTATGGGTCAGGCCAGGTGGAGGTATTCAATCAGTGGGGGCGCATACTGTCTCCTACCTGCCAAGGAGTATGGGCCCCGCCCTTTGGGCACATTTTGGGTGCCAATTCTGAACTAGGTGATGGTTGGTTCAAATGTCTACTAGGGTAAATTGTAATTCAGTTGGTCGCCTAGCATCACTGTGGAGTTTCCTGTGTGTGTTACAATCTCATTGGCCACCTGTGTGTGGCTAGGCCCTATCGCATAGCCTTTGCTCTATAAAGGTTAGTCTGGAAAGCAGGGAGGGGTCGTCCTCTCTGTAGGGGCGGCCCCAACTGGTCTGTTTGACGGTTGGTCTGATTCCTGATGCTTGGCATGAAATAAAGCTTTGCTTGACCTTCAAAAAAAAAAGTAGTCTATTTATAATATCTGAAGATTTGCTTACAAAATATTTACGTATTGATGCAGGGCTCAATCCTAGGACCCTGAGATCGTGACTTGAGCTGAAGCCAAGAGTTGGGTGCTTAACCAACCAAGCCACCCAGGCACCCCGAGCAGCTCACATTTTAAAAAATAACAAGCACAGAAGAAAATGAGACACCATTGGTAAGAAACAGTGAACATAGATAGCATAAACATATTCAAAAGGACTTTACATACTGAAATTACACATAGACTGTAAAATAACTATATAAAATATGAATAAAAGACAACCTTGAAAATATGTACAGAGAACAAGAGAGTACAAAGAATAACTAAAGGTGTTTTTTGTAAAATAGAATTTAAAAAATTAAAAAATATAAATTATTAAAATTTAAAACTCAGTAGACATGTTTAATAGCCTATTTGACATAGCAGAAGTACAATTTAGTGAACTGGGAGATAGAGATGAAGAAATTGGCCAAATTCAATAGAAAAAAGAAAAATAAATGAAAAATGCTAAAGAGACTTTAAGTGACATGGAAGACATTGTGAGAAAGTCTGAAATAAATCAGTACTCCAAAAGAATAGGAAATAGGAAAGAGAAAATATGGCAAAACAGTCCCTGTTAAGATAATGGTTGAAAACTTCCCAGAACTGATGAAAGAAAGACTCTAACCCACAGACTTAGGAAATCCCCAGCAAGTTAAAGAATAATAAATCTACACTTATATATATGATAGTAAAACTGTCAAACACCAAAAACAAAAAAAGAAAACTTTAAAAGTAGAAGGTTAAAAAAAAATAGATTATACTCAAAATATCTGGTAATTGGCTTTCCTCAAGAGAATCAGAAGACAGTGAAAAAATGTCTTCAGTGGGCTACAAGAAAATGACTGTCAGCCTAGAATTCAATGCCCACTGAAGAGATTTTTTTTTTTTTTAAAGATTTTATTTATTTATTTGACAGACAGAGATCACGAGTAGGCAGAGAAGCAGGCAGAGAGAGGAGGAAGCAGGCTCCCGGCTGAGTAGAGAGCCTGACGCGGGGTTCGATCCCAGAACCCTGGGATCATGACCTGAGCTGAAGGCAGAGGCTTTAATCCACTGAGCCACCCAGGCGCCCCTGAAGAGATCTTTAAGAATGAAGCCAAAATGAAGGCATTTTTCAGGCAAGCAAAAGCAGAGTTTGCTGCTAATATTGATTCTCACTAATAGAAAGTCTAAAGAAATTTCTTTCTACAGAAAAAAATGAAATCATCCCAATTAAAAGGTCTGAAAGTTAAGACTAAAGGAGCAGCATTGAAAGTGTTAAATATTTGCATGAATCTAAAAACCATTGACTATGCAAAACAGAATTGTTAAAAATAATTAATAATATTTTTAAAAGAAAAAATAGCAATTATCATATTCCTAGCATCAGAGTAAGTCCAATCAGATTCTTATTTTATACCTACTATTAAACAGACCTCATCAGACCAAGTATTTTATCCATTTGTATTATTTTCATCTGGTATATGCCCTTAAAAGCAAAAATACTAAACATTTCCATTTTTTTCCCCTCTTTTCCGGTCCATTTAGCCAAAACTGTGTTAATGTTTTAGCGGTATTCTCTTTTTAAATAACTCTCCTGATGTAGCATTTTAAATATTTTTCTTCATGACATTTTTATTTCAAATTTGCCTAATGTACCAGTGAAGATGATTTATTAATAATCAGATTAAGAAATTAACACATATTTTGGAGATCACAATTTAGAGTAATAAAAAACAGAATTACATACTATTTTTCAAATAACTATGAAGCATTAATGAGTCCCACCATAGAAGTCTAAAAATGAAAGTTCATCATAACAAATTATATAATTATGTATTCACAGGTTAAGAACAATTAACTCTTATTGAAAAGCTCTGCCTACTCTTTCCACCCACATTGCCTTTTCAATGTTCATGCTATGACTTTTTAACACCATCTCTGGATATAGTTAGAAATCTATGCTCAGGATTTAAAGATTGACTCCTGAGTTTTAATTAAGCTCAGAGGGCATCCTGAACTCCAAATAAATTTTTATAAAGGAAGAAGAACCCATTTCTCTCTGATATCTGCCTAGCCTGCACATTCCCAGTTGTAAATATGTTCTTCATTTCAATTTCAAGAGAGTGTATAAAAAGCTATTTATCATAGTTATGTAAACATGTAAAGCATAGGACACATAATTCCTTAATTTCTGAAGTTGTGGTAACTACAATGCAAAGAAATTATACCTTACTTTTTTTTTTAACCAAAGCTTTACTCTTTCTTTTCCTCAGCCACATAAGATTATTCGAAACATATTTACTTTTATAATACTTTCCTGAGAAAACCAAATCATAATTTCACTGCACAATGTCCAAATGACTTTCATTACCTTATATATATATTTTTTAAAGATTTTATTTATTTATTTGACAGAGAGAGACAGAGCGGCATCACAAGTAGGCAGAGCATCAGGCAGAGAGAGAGGGGGAAGCAGGCTCCCTGCTGAACAGAAAGCCCGATATGGGACTCGGTCCCAGGACCCTGAGATCGTGACCTGAGCTGAAGGCAGAGGCTTTAACCCACTGAGCCACCCAGGCGCCCCTATTTTTTAACGTATAAGAGATTATATATTGCTAGAATAGATTATTCCAGTTAGCTTTCTCATACCTGTGTTTATACATCCATAAACTTTCTGATAGTTCACAAGTAATGCATATAAACCAGACTGTACATTAATTCTTTCAACTTAATAAGTTACTGGTTTTTACTGTGTCCAAGGCTCATCCTATTTACAAAAAAATTATTTAAGTATCTGTAGTTTACTTCACCTCTTTTCTGAAATGAATGGGAAGCTAGCAAGAGGCCTCACTCTACAGTGTTTCAAAACTGCCATTTGTGCTCTTCTCTCCTAGCAATGAAGGTGCCATACGTACAACATTATCAGGTAGCAGCCATCTACCCACCTCTCCCAACAAGGACAGGAGCTACCTAGATGACTTTTGTCAAATCTCCTACTAGTTATTTATTTTTCTGATTCTTCCAGAACACTGGTGCCCAGAGGTGACAAGGTGAAGAAAGAAGACACCGTCCCTATATTCCAGTAATGTCTGTCCAAAGCATTCTTGTCCAGTTCATCCCTTGGTTCTAGGCCCTGTTGATATTTTCCCATAGTTGTTCTCAGTCAGTTCCTATGGGAACATAACTTACTGGTATTATACGCACAGACAGCTGAGACCAGATTTCCAATCCATTCCCCAGCTATTTCCTTTAACCCCTAATCCCTATAACACCCTCCTGGAACAGGAGAATTTTCCAGACAGGAGAGAATGGAACATGAGTGGGCCTGATAACTGGGGCAGTGAAAGAGGGGTATTTCATCAGTGGAAGCATGAGCAGAAATGGGCAGGGAGGAAGATGCAGAGCAGTGGGTGCTGGAGAGCGAGGTGGCTTCATGGTCAAAGGACCAGATCTTGATCTAGGCCCACGTGTAGATCTAGATGAAGACTCTGGCAATGTGCAATTTAAGCTTAAATGACAATGCGATTCTAGATGATCTGGCAGACTTCATTAAGCAGTGTGAAGTTGTTAAGATGAACAAGAGAACTAGACAACCCATGATCCATATCTACTTGGACAACGAAACAGGAAAGCCCAAAGGCGGTGCTAGAGTGTCCTGTGAAGACCCACCAGCTGTCAAGGTTGCCATGGAGTGGTTTGATGGGAAAGATTTTCAAGGGAGCAAACTTAAGGTTTCTCTTGCTAAGAAGCAGCCTCCGATGAACAGCATGCCTGGTAGTATGCCTCCCCGTGAGGGCAGAAGGATGTCAAAGTCACTCTGGAGGTCCAGGTAGTCCACAAGGGCCTGGGGGTCCCATGGGTCACATGAGAGACCGAGGAGGAGACAGAAGTGACTTTCCCTCAAGAGGGTCCCAGAGTTTCTAAGGGAACCCATCCAGAGGAGGAAACATCCAGCACAGAGCTGGAGACTGGCAGTGTCCCAATCCAGGGTATGGAAACCAGAACTTCGCCTGGAGAACAGAATGAACCATTCTAAGGTCCCAGAGCCTGAAGGCTTCCTTCCACTACCCTTCCCACCACTGGGTGGTGACTGTGGCAGAGGCAGCCCTAGTGGCAGGCAGGGAGGAAGAAGTGGCCTCATGAGCTATGGTGGTCAGTGTGGGATGTTCAAAAATGGTCATGGTGGAGAAAGAGGTGGCTTTCTGGTGGCTGCAGCATGGACAGAGGTGACATTGGTGAAGGAAGATGGGGTGACCCTAATGGGTCCCCTGGACCTTTGATGGAACAGATGGGAAGAAGACGACATGGGGGTGAAAGACCTGGAAAAATGATAAAGGCGAGCACCATCAGGAACACAGAGACCAAACCTACTAGATGCAGAGACCCTGAAGAGCTTCACTGACTACAGATTTATTTTTAAACCATAACATGTTTTAAATTTATAATTCCATATTTATAATATTGGCCACAACATTATGATTATTCCTTGTCTGTACTGTCGTATTTTTCAATATTTGTGAGGAAACATTTAAACAAGTTAAATGGTAGTGTGCTGTTTTTTTCCTTCTTTTAAAGATGGTTGTTTAAGGATGCCTGGGTGGCTTAGTCATTAAACATCTGCCTTTGGCTCGGGTCATGATCCCAGGACCCTGGGATCGAGCCCAGCATTAGGCTTCTGCTCAGAGGGAGGCCTGTTTCTCCTTCTCCTCATTCCCCTGCTTGTGTTCCCTTTCTGCTATGTTTCCCTCTGTTAAATAAATAAATAAAATCTTTAAATAAGTAAATAAAGGTGGTTGTTTAAAATAAGACTAAATAATGGAAACCCCTTGTGAACATGCTCAGTATCATTGTGGAGGACCAAGAGGGCCTCTAATTATAACAGTGTTCATGGTTGTGATGTTCTATTTTTATTTAATAAACATTACAAATGTTTATTAAAAAAAATAGACTCATCAGACATATCAACCAAATGCAGTATGTGGACCTCTTTTAGATTGTTTCAAATCACTTTTATAAAAGACACTATTGAGACAATCAGGGAGATATTAATACTTGTTGGATATTACATGATATCAAGGAATTATTATTAATTATCTTAGGTATAATAATATGTGATTATGTTTTTTTTAATGTCTCGTTTCTTAGAGGTACATACTGTATAATTGGGCCCCTACTTTAAAGGAAAAAAAACCCATGTTCAAATTATGTCACTTTCTTTTCTCTATCTGTAGGTCAAATCCATGGGAATGTACTCTACAATTACTACTTGTTATTTTCTACCCTTAAGACAGTAATCATTTACTCTTTGTCATTTCTATTTTTTAAGATTTTATTTATTTGAGAGAGAATGAGAAAGATCATGAGCAGGGAGAGGGAGAAACAGACTCCCTGCCAAGCAGGAAGCCCCATGCAGGGCTCAATCCCAGGACCCCAAGATCACAACCTAAGCTGAAGACTTAACTGACTGAGCCACCCAGGTTCCCCACGTCTATGACTATTTTTTGGTAAAAGTATTCAAATCAAAAGCAACTCATGCGGGGCACCTGTGTGGCTCAGTGGTTTGAGCCTCTGCCTTTGGCTCAGGTCATGATCCCAGGGTCCTGGGATCGAGCCCTGCATTGGGCTCTCTGCTCAGCAGGGAGCCTGTTTCCCTTCCTCTCTCTCTGCCTGCTTGTGATCTCTCTCTGTCAAATAAATAAATAAAAATCTTAAAAAAAATAAAAAGCAACTCATGCTATCTGTTATTTGCTCCAAACCTCTATTAAACCACTGTGAAAGGTCAAATAGCTCATGACCTATGGTAAATAAATCTGATTAAGCACATTAACATGTTCAAATTTATATAAAGCATTCTGCAAATACAGATTACTCTAGAGATGCTAAGAAGCAGATGTACTGATCTCCTTGGCATTCACATGATTCAGCTACAAATAGAATTTGAACACATTCCAAATGCACGACTGTCAAATTCATAAAAAGTAGCAAAAAAAAGTCAAGTGAAAGTTTAGGCTTTGGCTTGATTAGCAGTGACTGTTTTCTGGAAAATAAATAGTTGAAACTATTCTGTTAATGTTTTATTTCTTCAGTGCTAATATTTGACAAAAACTAAGTACTTTCATTTTATGCGGAGATGTTCCCATTAGGTTAGCAGTGATAATCCAGAAACTGTTATGAGTTAGTATTACTATTAAGTTGGTAGAAAATCTTGAAATCAGTTTAATCAAAGAGGTGCCTGGGTGGCTCAGTTAGTTAAGAAGCTGATTCTTGATTTCACCTCAGGTCATGATCTCAGGGTCCTGAGATCAAGCTTTGTGCTCAGAGGGGAGTCTGCTTGAGGATTCTCTCTCTCCCTCTGCCCCTCTCTCATGCACACACTCTTTCCCTCTTTAAAATAAATAAGTCTTGGAATGCTTGGGTAGCTCAGTTGATTAAGCATCTGTCTTTGGGTTAGGTCATTATTCCAAGGTCGTGGGATCAAGTCCCACATCGGGCTTCTTGCTCAGTGCAGAGCTGGCTCTCCATCTACCTGCTGCTTCCCCTGCTTGTGCTCTGACAAATAAAATATTTAAAAATAGATAAATCTTTCTAAAAAATCAATTTAATCAATATTACAAAGTTTATCAGTATAAACTTGACTCGCTGAAGTAGTATAGTGCAGTGGGGTTGAACTCCAATTCTAACAACAGATAAATAATGCTAACCCCATCATATACTGGCTGTAAGACCTCACCAAGATTCTTTCCTCATATGTAAAGTGGAGTAAAAAATTTTTTTTAAATTTTACAGTGTTGTGATAAGAAAGAACTCAAGAAACATTAACTGTTATGATTACTCTTTGGAGAACATGATACACAATATTACTAACTGTATTTTCACTTTTCTCAGTTGTGAAAAAATATTACAAATAGACTATACTCTACCAACCTTCCATTGATACCAAGACTTTGTGGCAACTGGCCTAATTCTGAGAATTATAGAAGATACATAGATGGGCATAACTTCAGGCCATGGAAGCAGATTTATTTAAGAATCTCAAACACCCCCATTCAAGTATCAGGTCTCACATGTGATGTGAGAATGAAAGCTATTTCTTTGGCAACCAGGAAATGGACTCAATTTGAGAGTTGTACTTTCTGTTCAAATAAGACTTCAAACAGACTTTAGAGTGTTGCAATACATGAAGTCAACACTCTAAGCCAGTCCTCTCTTGCCAGACTTATTTCTTAAGTACAATGAATCATAGTAAAACAAAATTTATCTCTAAGCACAATGCAGTAATGCATACGTCTCGTTATTCTCCTGCCCTTGCAACGTTACTTAACAATACAGAACACCTTGTTTATAATAGTCAATAGATATAAAAATGACCTTTTGAAATATTTGGGAAATATTATATGTAAAGATTTGGTAGATTCAAGTTAAACTTTTGAGCTAGAATAATTATAGGTAATTTAGTATATTTTGTATAGTATCTTTCATGTTATTCAATTAATGTTCAATTAGTAATGCTTAGACTGATATTGAAATAATGATATGGCAGTCTCATCCATATGTTATAAACTCATGACTAGGAAGTTATTTGTATGGCATTATTTTGATACCATGCATATGCTTAGTTTCTCTTCAAACAAACCTCATGTTTTAACATGTTGAAAAGCCTTGTATGAGTCAATAATTTCAATAAGAATTGTAAGATTAAAAAAAAAGAATTGCAAGATAATTTTAATACCATCATGCATTCTATATTCTGGCTTTTTTTTCCCCAGCAAAATAGAGGTTGACTTTATACGTAGAACTATTTGGTTACCTTAAAATACAGTTCATACAGGAAAGAAAAAACAAATAATTCCTTAGTTTTAGTTAGTTATTTTCAGAATAAAGATAATTTGGTGACTAATGGGGAAATCTGCATTTGAGTTTTAGATAAGATGAAAATTCATTGACTAGGAAAGGTAGAGATTGTTAATTTTAAAAAAGTAAGGTTGTAAAACTGCACACCAGGTATGAAACCATTTGGGTTAAAAATATATATATTTATATGCATATATAGAGATAAGTAAAGGTATGGAAAGATATACAATAAGCTGTTAACAATGGTAATAGATTGGAAATATGGTTTTTATTTTTCTATTTTACCTATATATAATTTCCAACTTTCTACCATGTGTGTACTACTTTAATAGTAACAGAAGTTTATTTATTTTTTTTAAACGAAAATCACTATTTCCTACTGGG